ACTTCATGCTTGTTTGGACACACAAACTCCAACGTATTCTCAGAGTTTATCACAGCTCGATCTCTACAATCGCATGAGGAGATTCCTCGAGTAAATCTAACTATGGCTAAGTGCTTCTCCTTAGACGTCATAGGAGGCGGTTAGGGGGAGGTGGAACCCACCGCTCGAAGTGCTCTCGTGGATGTCGCTCTCTCCACCAATCATCGAAAAGGAGGTACCTGGGGTCAAACTTGTCTACACTGTCGATCCACTGAAAGAAAAGGCACCTCTCATGGGCCTACACAACAAAATTCAAACAAAATATTAGTAACCTAGTAATACAAATGAAGAAAAAAACATACGAAAACAATTACTTACATTAAAACGACTGCATGTGTAGAAGCAACGAGCCGCTGTGTCTGGATGTCTCGATTGAAACACGTTGGCCGAACGACCACAGTCACAGTTAGGGACAGGGAGGTCAGGAGGGACGGGGGCATCTTTGCTAGACTCGTCGGGGTACAATTCTCTAGGACGACCCTGTTTTCGCCACAACTTCTCCCGAAACATGTCTTCCATCTAATAAAACGGTTCAAATTAAACATCAATCAAAACAACACAAATTAATGTAAAATATAATCATTTGCATTGCAACTCAAATAATATAACCAACACTTATTGCAACAAAAATATACATGGTAAACATACTTCTAACTAAATAATTAACCATAACATTGACAAAATCAAACTAATATCTTCCTCCAAACCATAGCCCATAGTTCCCAAACAAAATTTTCCTCCTAACCTTAACTCCCATTCATAATATTTCAATCCACCATTCAAACGAAAATAAAAAGTGCGTCATTACCTTAAACGAGGCCGAGGAGGGAGGGAGGCGGCTAGGGAATGGAAGGGAAGGGAGGGAGGGAGGTGGCCAGGTAATGGAAGGGAAGTGAGGGAGGGAGGCGGCAATGGAGGGTCGGGCGCCGACAGCACTTGGGAGTGGCAGGAGGGCGTGGCGCGGAAGTCATCCACCGCGTTAAGGCAAACAGAGGGAGGGCGGCTCGCGGGCGATATTTACCTAGGATTGCCACGCCGTGAGGGATGGCGTGGCGGCGCCGTGCCAAGATCGGTGGCGCGGCAGACCCTGCCACGTCACCGGTCAGCGTCCCGGTCGTCGCCACATCATCCCTCTCGCCGCGCCACCATGCATGGCACGGCATAGGCGTTTCGCCGCGCTAGGGAAATAGGCGCAGGCAAAAGTGTTAGTTTTGGAAGAAAAAAAATAGTGTTAGATTTAAAATTAGTTTACAAAAAGTGTTAAAAATAAAAAAATCAATATCTCAACCGCAGCGAGAATATTACAACTTGCTTGGGACTGAAATATTACAACTTGACCAAATATTACAACTTGCTTGGGATTGAAAGGCTATGTTGTTGTTGTTGTTATTGACCAAATATTACAACTATACCAGCGCATCTACGCGAACAACTGATAAAAAGCGGCTTAAGTAATGCAATCATCTGATATGGTACATTAAAGTTTATGCAAAAGGAAGACTAAACATGATCCATCAAAAAGATTTGATTTCAATGAATAACCTCAACTATCCTATGAGTCCGAGACTTCAGAAAAACAAATCAAGCAAGAATTTTATATAAGAAATGGGGTGTTCCTAAAAGTTGCAATTTGTGGTCATACAAGATTATCGTGTTTGAAATGATGATATAAGTTGGTAGGGGTTGCACCAAACGAAGAAAACCTTGTCCATTGAAATGGCATGGACATATCCCACAAATGCCTCTAGAATCACTGGTGCATAGAAGAATACTAAGGCGTGCCAAAATAATGTAAAGAGAGACAGGCTTCAACCTCAACCAAAATCTAACATAAGAAGAGTTTGTAAAGAGATACTTGACAGAATATCCCCAAAACATTATCCATGAATAGGAACACATGGAAATTTTACCATTATTACTATTACTTATACCTCATTATTATTTTTTTTTTAGTAGCTTAACAGGTTTGTTGCCAAGTGGTCTCGTGGAGCCTTAGTACGTAGCACCTCTCGGTTCGGGTTTGACTCCCGTGGGAGCGAATTTAAGCAGGCCTAGGTTAAAAAATGCCCCTCGTTGGCTGTGTTCCTAAGTTATGTGTGTAATACCCCTTGTTGGTTGTGTTCCTAAGTTATACGTGTAACCATCTGAGTCGCTTTTAGCGATATGCACATCGATGGCATGTCCAGGGCAGCTGGCTTTGGGATAATGACGTGAGGGCAGTCTTTCCCCCTTGAGGTCGAGTTTTTTTATATATTTTAATGGTTGGATATTTACTGGGTTTAATCCCTAGCCTACCTCAAGTACTTTGAACAAAAAAGACTCTGTTGGTGACTTGGTGTTGTACCTACCCATGCTGATAGGTGATAACTAAATATCCTACTGAGGTGGGATCAAAAACCCCAATTCATTTGTTTGCCAGATCAAATCAAATAGTTAATGCGTGTATACATCCAATGCTTGCACTCATGCCCTTGCATGGGCAAGCATTACAATAGTGAGCAGAACAATACATGTTATGTTTGTACAATTGTACCTACAACTGAATGTCCTTTCACCAGTCATTTTATTGATTACTCAGTTACTTGACTACATTAAGATATAGCAATCACTACCACTACAAAGTTACCATGGTTGATAGACACCGGGGCAGGGCTGCCGAGGCATGGGCCCACCGGGGAGCGGACCTGTTACTTGTGCTAGCATTCAATGCCACATGTTATCTGTCTGGAGCCTTTATAGCCTGTTTAAATCCACAAACTAAACTTTAGTCGGCTAGATTTAACTACTAGAGATACAAATGGTCTAGCTAAAGGCCAGCTAAAATTTAATTGAGTTTAGCTAATTCAACCCAGCTAAGCCCAGTTAAAGTTTAGCTAGGTCTATTAGCTCGAGGATCTAAATACCCCAGCTAAAGTTTAGGTAGAAGAACTTTTAGCTGGCTAAAGTTTAACTTTGAAATTTTAGCAGGCTAAATTTTAACTGGGTGGACCAAACATGCCCTTACCTATATTCATTTGGAAATCCACCTACCGGGGAGCGGACCTGTTTACCTGTCCTAGCATTCAATGCCACATATTACCTACACCAAAGCGTGTTCATTTGGAAATCCACCCACTCACAAAGCTCGGCCCGCCAGGAAGCAGGCCCACGAGGAGTCGCCGGGGCATGGGCCCGCTGGTGAGCAGCCGTGTGAGGACAGGCAGCCTTGGTGCAGCTGCACAGGGCGAGGCTGCCGCGACCACTTTGCTCGTGTGCCTCTCCGCCACTCTTTGCCCTCATCGTACTGAAGCGAAGAAGAGAGAACGGAGAAAGGAAGAGCCGAAGGGGATGGATGACACTCTCATGTCGTACGAACGGATAAGGCAGCAGTGTAGTACTAGTAGGATTTTTCTCCTAAAAAACATAAGTATTCTTTAGTCCCAGCACTATGATTAAACTGAAATTACTACTATAGTCAAATAATTAGGACAAATAGACAGGCACTATCGACATCTAACATCTTTTATTCATTTCAGAAAAATAAAAGAAATTGTTTTGCCAAGTGTTTTTAAAGAGCTTCAACTCCTTTAGAGACCGCTTCTTCAAAGAAGTCAGAACCAAAGCTATTTTTGAAGTACTCCTTCTATCTTAGAAAGAATACAATTTTAGCAATGTCATGTTTTAGTTTCTGGCGGGTTTGGGGGCAGTGGAACCGGCCAGGCCAGTTTGGCAACCGGGCAGGCTGGTTTGGCCGGGGCAGCGCCGTATTCTTCCGTTTCCCACCTTTTTGACTTGGTGCTTCGAATTATGTTGTCCCAAATATTTTCCAACACGTTCTTGATGTCAGAAACTTGATGGTGTAACCTGCATTCTATGTTGGCACAATTCTGCGTGTCAACAGACGTAAAACCAATATCAGTGGGAGTTTCATCTACATTTAATAGTTGACACATAAGCATTTTAGATGATATGACAATGTTTTTAAAAAGAGAAGTGAGTTTTATAGGGACTTAGTTCGATTTCCAACTCTAGATGAGTCATGAATTAAATGTGTATAAAGTGATTTTTCATTGCGTTCTTTATTTTTGGAAACAAAGCTATGACGCTCTTCATTAAAAATGGCTAAAGAAAGTCAATGTAAAATCTTGCTTGTCAAAAAGAAATCTTGCTTGTGGATCGGTTTGATGAGAAGAAAGATGTTTGGAGCATCCTAGGCCAGTCTCGGTGGGAGTTTCGTCAAAATTTTATTTGTATGTAATAAATTGTCACATACGCATTTTTGATGATATGACAATGTTTTTAAAAAGAGAAGTGAGTTTTATAGGGACTTAGTTCGATTTCCAACTCTAGATGAGTCATGAATTAAATGTGTATAAAGTGATTTTTCATTGCGTTCTTTATTTTTGGAAACAAAGCTATGACGCTCTTCATTAAAAATGGCTAAAGAAAGTCAATGTAAAATCTTGCTTGTCAAAAAGAAATCTTGCTTGTGGATCGGTTTGATGAGAAGAAAGATGTTTGGAGCATCCTAGGCTAGTCTCGGTGGGAGTTTCGTCAAAATTTCATTTGTATGTAATAAATTGTTACATAAGCGTTTTTGATGATGTGACAATATTTTTAAGATGAAAGAGAAGAAGTCAGTTTCATTTTTAAGATGAAATAGAATTAAATATCTATGAAACAGAATAATGAAACTATGCATAGAGAGAAATTATTTCATCCATATTTCATTGCATTATATGTTCTTGAAAACAACCAAATAAAACCCTCCACTGACAAGGATAACCCCACGTCCTTCGTAATCTCGGATTGGTGGTGCAACATTATATTGCAGGAGACGAGACGGCGTCACCGGCCGGAAGTGTTCATTTGGAAATCCACCTCCACCTCCACTATCCACCCACTCACACACAACTAACTCGCAAGCTCGGCCGCCCGCACCGTCCCGGCCGGGATCTGTTCTTCGCCGGTCGCCTGGAGGCATGGAGGAGGCTCCCGTGACCGCAGCCACGGGGGCTCTGGGGCCTGTCGTAGCGAAGCTGAGCGCTTTGGTTCGCCGCCGCGGTGAGTACCAGCTTCGGTGGCGGACTCGGAAGGACGTGAAGCTCATCAGATCCAAGCTCAAGTCCGTCCACTCAATCCTTTGGGTGATATGGGAGAGGGAGGTTCTTGATGCGGCAGGCAAGGAGCTGAAGATGGAAGCGTGGCGTCTCGCCGACGACATGAACGACGCGATCGACGACTTCATCCTCAGTATGAAGTGCAGCAACGACGGCAAGCGCTTCATGCAGGTCAAGATTCAGCCGAGCCCTTTCCAGGATCTCAAGAGAAGGGCAGTTGATGTGTGTGAGCGGTGCCGCAACAAATGGAAGACGGGGACTTCCCACGCCACCTTCTGCAGCTTTTTTTCAAGAACAAAAACCACCGTCGACTCTGGCCCTGGCAAGCGGCGGACTCGAGTCGTTGATCCCTATGTCCACAAGGACATCTCAGAGCTCGTGGGGATGGAAGAACCGAGGGATAAGCTCATCGATCACCTGGTAGGAGAAGAGGAGAACACACCGCAGCTCAAGATGGCATGCATCGTTGGAGCTGCCGGGATGGGTAAAACGACCCTTGCCCGCCTTGTGTATGAAGCGATTCAAGATCAGTTCCAGGCTCGGGCTTTCGTGTCGGTCACTTCAAGTCGTAACATGACGGAGCTTCTGGTCAGCATTCTCGAACAAGTGACAGCTGATAGTACTGATCGGTCACTTGCTGGCACCAAAGCATCGACCAAGAATAAACATCTCATCGGCATCATATCGAATTTCCTCAAGGATAAAGGTGCGCATGTTCACCGCCTTCACTCCAATATATTCTACATCCACAAATACGATATGTACTAGCTATATCTTGCTATAACTAATTGAAAACAAACCTAGAAATAATCACAAAAAATGAAGCATTAAGCCATCAATTTGGTAGACTTTGATCGCTATATATAGCCATTGGATCTACTAATAAGGTTTCTAAAAAAGTCCATATTTGCCAATTTGAATAATAATAATAATAATGATAATAATAACGATGATGATGATAATGATAATAATAATGATGATGATAATGACAATAATAATGATAATAATGATAATCATAATGATGATGATAATAATAATAATGATAATAATAATGATAATAATAATGATAATGATAATGATAATAATAATAATAATAATAATAATAAATAAAAATAAAAATAAAAATAATAATAATAATAATAATAATAATAATAATAATAATAATAAAGAAGAAGAAACCTCTAGTTTTATGTCTAAATTACACACTTATGTGCCATTATGAAAAAAAAATCCTAGCTAAACCCGTAAATTTGCCTATAAATTACACACCTGTACCATTATGAAATATGTGAAATTGCTTCTAAATTATCCAATTGTCCATTACAAATTATAATAATAATCTAACTAACCACTTCAATTTGCATTTATTTTAGCACACCTCTACTATTATCTCTACATAATATTAAAGGGAGAAAGGTTTCTTGATCCGATATCACTCATAGGTCATAACAGTCCAACGGAGATCTAACAGACCCAGTCGCTCCCATGCTCGTATGACTTAGTGGCATGTCCTAGCATGGCGTGGAGTCCAATTTTAAAATGAGTTGGAATACAGAGTGTTTCTATGGTCTACCACTCCCTCTCATTTATGTATGAGTTAGAGCATGGTGTTTAAGCATATGCAGAATCCTATCCAAAAATGAATTGAACGCATGTCACAATCATTGATAAATCTCTAACCTTCTGGTACTCATACGAGTTAGAGCACACATGTTCAGGCATAGTCTAGAGTTCAAATCCAAGACAAATTGAAATATGTGGCATAATCGTTGATAAATCTTAAGCCGCAAGTGTCTAGCTGACCAGCGACAAGTTGTACATCTTGTTGCAACAAACAAGCATGTATGCTATTAAAAATAAACTAAAATATCCCCTCGCATTTACTACTTAAATTACCAACATCAACTATCATGAAAAAAATAGACATAGAGTATGTACATATTTGTTTATGAAACCCCATTTCTAACACTATTAATATATAAAATACTAGCTGAAAGTAAAACTACATGTTAAGATGTCTTGCCCACTCACCGCAATTATTACGTGTTTTGCTCAACCATGTAACACCCCGGGTGTTTTAAATACTAAAACTTGTCATGACATCATATGCATTGCAAAGCATCTGGGCATATTGAAAACTTGGATATGCATTTACTAAAACAAGTTTACCTTATGTTGTATGTGTAAATTGTATTGGTTGAATCAAGTTTGAAATACTTGTTTTGGTTTGAAATTCCGAAAACCCCGCTTTTCAGCATTTAAATCCTACCCTGAAAATCCATTTCAAAATCTAGACAGAATTAGGAGATGGTTATAGAAGCAAAGTTGTAGAACTTTCAATTTTGAACAACTTTTGTTTTTGGAGATTTTTGAGTTGTTATGAAAATTTGAGAGTAATTTGTGAATTTTGGCGTATGGCAAACTTGTAATTTCGATGAACAGTGTTCACCGCTTGCGCTACACCGCCGGCGAGCTTCGGCTTGTTTCCAGTCGCGCGCGTGGCCGTCTGGGCGTCGCGCTGGCGAGGGAAATGGTTTCGTCGTGGCTTCTTTGAGTTTCCTGGCCATCCTTTTTAACCAGAGCCGTCGCCGTTTGCCCCGCTCCTTTCCTCTATTTTTCAGTCACTGCCGCCGCAGCTCCGTCGTGGCTTCCTTGAGCTTTTGCGCCGCGCTATAAGTACCAAGACGTCGTCATCGTCGTTTTTCTTCCTTTGTTTTCACCACCGCTGTTGCCATCTCGGTAAAGGCCGTCCTAGTTCCGTCTTTTCCTTGCGAATCCAGCCAGCTAGCCTTGGTCGCCTGAAATTGCCGAGAACTCGCTGTCCACGTTTTTCTTCCTCGAGGTCAGCAACTTCACCGCTGCGGGCGTGTCATCGTGGCCAGAGCTTTTCGGTGAGCCGTTGACTGTAATCAGTGTTCTTACGGTTTCGTTTCGATGCTGTAGTCTTTAGTCAGTTGTTGTTTACTCATTTTGATCACTGCAGTCGCCGGTTCTCCCTCACCGACGATTTTTGCTCCGCATAGTTCACCGTAGTGGTCGGAGAGTTTACCGTAGTGGTCGGAGAGTTCACAGTAGTGGTCGGATAGCTCACCATAGTGGTCGGAGAGTTTACCGTAGTGGTCGGAGAGTTTACCGTAGTGGTCGGAGAGTTCACCGTAGTGGTCGGAGAGTTCACCAAAGTGATCGGTGCTAGCGTGGTCACATCAGTTACGGATATGGTTTGGTTAGTTTGGTTTGTAACTGTACTGCGAAGAAAAATTGTATCCAATTTATTAATTTTTGCATCCATCATCGAGCATCATGTTTCATATTCCACATCATGTTGAACATGGCAATGTTGCTACGTGTAGTAAACGAAGGTGAACACGTGGTAGTTAATCAAGTTGCGGAGGAGGTTGATCTGTCTGTTGAGGTCGGATCGAAGACTTGTGAAACGTCGCAGGAGCCAGACTTTTCCGTCAACGAAGGCAAGCCCCGGATGCATATAACCCTACCTTGTATTTTACAAATTGATTTCTCTTTTGCTTTTCAATACTGCATTAAGTGATTAGAAGTCAAGTGGAAACCTAATTGTTGCATTATCAACCTTGTTGTTCCATATCTACCTTGTTACCCGTTTAAAATCGTATATGCCTAGTTATGCTTAGCTCTGCTTAGACCGATCAAAGTTGGGTGATTGCCTGTCACCTGCGAGTTTTAAATGGAACTTTGGTTACTTATGTTATCATGTGATATGGTAATGTGGAGTAATAAATCTAGATCGGGCGGACTCGGTGTGTGTGAGCCACAAGACCTGGTAATGTCTTGTGAGCGGGTTCTTTCCGCCTGTGTCGATTAAGGTCCGTACCGTTGGTGAACTGTTGTAGGTGAGACTTTGTAGTACTAACCACATACTCCGGTAAGCCTTAACTTGGCTATTCTATTACGAGAATGGCTACTCGCGCACTGGGAGTGGAGAGATGGCGGGAATAGCGTGTACCCACGTGGCAATGGGCTGGAGTGTGGAGTACTGTATTCTCGGGTGGCGCGGACCCGTTCTTGTTTAGAGGATCCAAGGGTAGGTTGGTATATGTAGGTCGGGGACCTACATATGTCGTGTGGTCTGGAATTCCCAGCTGGGTTTATAATCGGTTCGAATCGTCGTTGCTCCTCGATTATGGAGACTCACTTCTCTGTTCATCATCGTAGTATTAATAACTGGAACTTGAGTATGGTTTGAGAAAGTGTTGGATATGAAGTTTCATGATCTCAATACGGATCGTGTCAGCTTTGTATATGATCTTATGAAGTTTTAAATGTTGAAATAAAGAATTTTGTTAAAAGAGCTTTTACGCAAAAGAACTTTGATTATTGCTAAAGCCATACCTTGAATCCCATGAGCCTGCATTCCTGAGTCTTATCAGTTTTTATTTCGGTTAAGTCTTGTTGAGTACTTTTGTACTCAGGGTTCGTTGACCCTTGTTGCAGGTGAGGCTCATGAGCAGATCTGTTTTGGATCGTCTTTGCATATTTGTTGTTCAAAGTGCGATGACGATAAGTAATGTGTGGCCCTTGGGCAGGGCAGCGATATTTGTGTGTTTTGTAATATATTATAATGCCACTCCACTACTTTGGTTTGTATTAATAATCGAACTTAGTTTGTAAGGTTTGAAATAAATGTTTTGTAAACTAAGTTATTGTAAGACTTCACTGTTTTTACTACGAGGTATCTATTTGAATAAACTGTTGTAATATCTGCAATGACTCGTAATGTGATCCCGCCTCGGAAATCGTGGATGATTGGGGTTCCCGAGGACACCCGACAGTCTTCTTAGGTTATCGGTAACATATGCATAGATGTCCAAGGTCGTTGGACGGTGGCAGTGCATGTGGGCCCAATAATTTAGGAGGTTACGCCACAGAGAATGGTATCGAGCGATCGTTACAAGTCTTTGTTGTGTTGTTTTACAAAAACTTCAAAATGATTTGGGACAAAGAAGTATAACTTGTTAATTTGGTCCAAATTGCTTCCGACTTATCTTATTTCATTCTCACCCTTTCTGATTTGAGAAAAAGGCTTTGTGTGGTGGAGTAGTAATTCTATTATGCCCTATATAATAACAACTGTTGTTTATGTGCTTTATAAGTTTGATATTTTTGGTTCGTAAGAACGATTCATGCATCATGATTAATTCACTTGTTACTTCCTTCATCTCTGAGCCTGGGTGAGTAGTGTGTATGGGTTGAGTTGTGTAGTCCATCCCAACTGCTCTTGAGACTGTTGTCAGATTGTTTTAATTGGATTAATCCTGTTCGTACAGTATGGCTCGTACCAAAAAGACACCCCGTAAGTCCACCGGACCTAAAGGAGTTCCTCGCCATCAACTTGCCCCTAGAAATGATGGTGCTAGCGGTAGCGGATCTAGGTCTGATCCTCAGGCAGAGATACAGAGGATTTCTGCAGAGTTAGCCCAAGCTACTAGAGATAGGACTATGGACGCCATCCAGGTGGGCAGATTACAGGAGCAGTTAAGACGTCTCACCACCGCTCACAGGAACTGCGAAAATCTGTTAATTCATATGGTGGATGGGAGAAATGAAGCTAGAGCTAGAACTCATGAGCTAGAATTTTATGTAGAGGATTTAGAGGAGCATAATACCACTCTACATGAGGAAGTTCATAGGCTAAGCAATCTCCTGAATCCTAATCATGAACCCCAAGCTGATGCAATGGACCCAGGTGTGATCCTTGCCGATGATAGTGAATCGGAAGAGGAAGAAGAAGAAGA